CCACAAAGATGATGGAGGGAGTGGAACATCTCCCTTATGAGGAAAGGCTGAGGGAGCTGGGTCTTTTCAGCTTGGAGGAGACTGAGGGATGACCTTATTAATGTTTATAAATATGTAAAGGATGAGTGTCAGGATGAAAGAGTCAGACTCTTCTCAGGGATGTCCAATGATAGGACACAACGGATGCAAGCTGGAACACAGGAGGTTCCACAAAATAATTAGGAAAAAGTTTTTCACTGTGAGGTGTACTCAGAAGGACTTTTATATTGCTTTTTTACAAAAAATACAGAGGACTCATACTGACAAAACTACATGGGAAACAGCATAATGTTTCTGTTAGGTACAATCTTTCTTTTTTTCCAAACCAAAATATGAGCCTTTGGATAGGAATTTGTTTGAAAAACAAACCAATGAGTGATGAAGTGAAGTTACATAAAAATACATGTATTTTCTCTCTTTTTAGATATATATATTTTCTTTATAACATGAATAATGAAACTATTCAAAGTGACTTCAGATAGGACAGGAAAAAATATTTCCGATAAAGTTCTACCTGTTACAAAATAGAACTCTGGAAAAAAATAAGCTTACGTGAATCCTTAAAAATAACAGGGAGTTTTTATTAGAGAGTGCTTTCCATGCCAAGAGATGAAGCTTATTCCCTACCTGAGGTTGAGATCCTACCTCTGTCACTGGCAATCACACCTTCTGAACAATTCTGCTTATTGCTTTTAAGACACTTAATCCACTTCATCTTCCCACTTTGTGATTTACAGTAGAACCTTATGTGAATAAACAGCAAGTTTTTCCTACTTCATCTTTTACCAGATAGCAACCTTTTTCTACATTGCCCTATTAATCACATGAATTTATGTAATTTTATGAAAATTCATATAGTTCAACCTAAGAGTTGGCATCTATGGGCTTTCTTTTGTATTCTTTCTTTTATCCTTTCTCACCAAGGTCAAAATCCACTGGTCAAAGACATTCTTGCTTTCACATAAGATACAAATTGGTTTTGCCCATCAGCTCCCAAAGCATTACTCCAGAGCTGAGAAAATCAACAATCACTCAGCAACGCCACTTGCACAGCCACACTTTCATCTCCAGGATGTATCCTTCTTCCTGATCTATGAAGCTTCTCCTCAAGGACTGATGAAAACACCAATCCTTCTTGTTCCAATTTTCATCACCATTTTGTGTTTGCTTAAGTTGAATAACATTCTGTAGCATTGCTGGTGCAATAATTTGAGGTGGTAGATGAACTTTAGTACTACCTTACTAACACCTTGCACTCAAGTTTCCCCAGAGGTACATCAGGTGTAGTCAATAGACCCTGCTCATACTGTCAGGAGGGGCTCATCTGTTGTCACTCTCTGCTGGCTGTTTCAGGTGGGAAACCATCGATATTGAGAAGAAAGAGGTGCAGAAGAGCTACCCCCTTGCAGAATGGCAAGTTTCTTCTTCACTCTTTGTGCCACTGCAGAGCTTCACACCTGCTCAGTTTATTTCCTTTAACATCTCTGCATGCATCCTCCACTGGTATCATCTTGATCTCTAATGCCATTCATTCCCACTTTTGCAGCTTCCCTACCTGCTTCTTAGAGAATTTCCCAATGGGCACTTTATTCACTGCAAATTCTGCCTTTCCTGACTTTTGCTTGTGGGGAAATCAGGCTATTGTCCTTCCAGTTCAAGTGCAGAATCTGGGTGGTGGCAGGTGGTGTCCAGTAGTCACAGAACTAGATAGAAGAATATCTTACAGTAGAAATGTTTGCATCTTAATTTCCACAGGTCATCATTGTGAGCTGTTTGGGGTTTTTTTAACATTTTTTTAAAGTCCTTTAAAGCTTTACTGTTTACGGAAGTTGGCCTCTTTGCAAATTTATTTGCTAGCTTTTAAATTTCTCTTGCCTAAATGATATAGCTTAGAAGTCTTACTGTTATAGAGCAGAAATTTTCACATACCTGGTCAAGGTTCTCTCTAGACAACATGTATGACCTTACTTGTTTAGTGACCTGGCATTCACCTGTTAATGAAAGGAACTCACGGTGTGATCTGCAGTCTGTTCCGGACACAAAAAGCTTGACCCAAGGAGCTCCTTGTGGGTTTTTTGTTGTTTTGTTTTAAATCAAGATAATTCCATGTTGAAATCCCTAATACTTTCCTAGAGCAAATGTCTTGCAAAGTTTGGAATTTTGTGAAATCCTAATTAAAAGCCATTCACTCTTTGTAGAATACTTCCTTTGGTTTTTTTTTTTGTTTTATTTTGTAATAAATATTCATAGTTAATTCTCCTCATTATTTCTATTTTGCCATTATTTTCTTTTGAGATGTTTCATTTATACTTTATAATGAGTCTCTATTTATGATTACACCTTGTCACCATTAATAAATTTTCTATTTCTTAAAGATTAACTAGCTTAATTTTCCTTACCTCTCATTTAAAAAAATCCAAACATGTACAGAGCCATTGCTTTGTAGAAATCAACTTGTAGTATAGTAGAACAATTTCCTTTTGAAACAATTTTTTTTTATCTCACAAAAATATATATGCATAAACTACTATCTGTAAACTACTACCTATAATATATATACACTCTCATTTTGGCATTCTTTGATTTTCAGGTTCTCGAGTGGGTTTTTTTACTACTTAATTTTCACTACTAGCTTTTTCATAACTTTGCTAACATCAGTGTAGATAAACAGATTCATGCAACTTTGGTCATATTGTTTTAATTATTAGCACGACATTAAGTTTTCAGTTGTCTGGCAGTGTTTCATTTTTTCAAGATTTTTTTTTAAAAAGTAAATGAATAGTCAAGAAAAGGTCTTGGACTGTTCTTTCTATCCTCTTGAAAAAGAAGCTTAGAAGTGTATAATTACTTCTTTTAGCACCTATCCTAAACATTGAAGTAGTACAAAATAACTCTGTGTTGCTGGGAAAATGAGTTAAATAATCTTTCTTTCCCCCAAGAAGATAGGAAACATTAGGTACTGATGCTAGAAATGAGTTGAGATCTATTTGACATCTTTTTCCTAAAGGCACAAGAACATATTCCAGCTTCAGAATGGGTGTTAAACACCTAAACCTCAGCAAACAGTCCAGTCTTCATGTTTTCCATGTTAGCAATGCTGGTTAACTCTTTCTGTAGGTAACTTTTACCTGAGGAATCCTTTAATTGCCTATACCAGTTTGGGACTACCTGTTCTGGGAACCCAGGCAACCTCTGCTTCAACATCTTTGTCAACTTTATCATGTCTATATCTCCTGGGAAGTCCAAGAAGATAGGCGTGATTAATATGGGCATCCTGAGGGCACTGTTTAAGTTTTACCTATATAATTATTGTGGTATCCGCCACAAAGTTGAAACATAAGATCTACTCAGACTGACTGAAGCTGAAACTTGACCTCCTGTATTATAAGAAGGTGCATTGGTGCAAACCATTACCTCACAGCTTATTCTCCATCCTTGCTGCTGAGGTTGAAGAAATATTTTCTAAATGGAGGCTCAGATTGTAGGCTTAAACTAAAGTATTTTACAAAGTGGGGACTTAATAAAATAAAATAATGAGGAACTGATGGTGGGCACCAAGGTAATAGTAGAAAGGTAGAGAGCAGCTAATGCACAGGATGTGCAAATCATGACTGAAAAACCTGGTGGCCTTCTATGAGAAGGTCACAACATCAATAGACAAGGGAAGAGCAACTGACATGATTTACTTGGACCTGAGCAAAACCTTTGACACTGTCCCACATGACATCATGTCTCCAAGTTGATAAAATACGGGTTTGATGGATGGACAATTCAGTGGATAAAGAACTGGCTTGATGACTGCACCCAAAGAGTGGCTGTCAATGAGTCCATGTCCAAGTGGAAGCCAGTAACAAGTGGAGTCCCTCAAGGATCAGTACTGAAACCAGTCTTGTTTAACATCTTCATCAGTGACATGGACAGTGGCATTGAGTGCACCCTCAGCAAGTTTGCCGATGACACCAAGCGGTGTGGGGCGGCTGACACCCTCGAGGGTAGGGTTGCCATCCAGAGGGACCTTGACATGCTGGAGTGGTGGGCCTTATTTCTGCTTATTTCTGCTTTTAAGTAACAAGCCCAACATCTCAAATCAGAAGACATAGCTTGCAAAGGGAGAAGAAAATTGGTTGTATTTAAAAGCATGAGTGAGTGGGATGTTCAGGGTTTTAAAAAAACTTCACAGATATGTCAGAGTTAGATTTTGCAAAGTAGGTGAAAGTAGCTGAACAATATTCATTTACTGTAGGTTTCTCAACCACACAGACTACTCAAAGAAAAATACACACATAAAATAAACTGCAAAGCATATAAAATTAATGCTTACAGCGCAAGTGCAACCTTGTAAATTGGATTGCCTATAAAATAAATAAGTAATGATGAGCATTATTTTTATAAGTATGATTTATGCCACTGTTTATCGCATGCCACTAGACAAAAATGCACTATTAAAGATCCAAGAAGTAGCTCTACTCATTTCAGTTGCCTGCCAAATGTTTGTATTTTAATTTAATAACTGAAGCAACAGAAAAAGATATGCAACTTGGCTTTTATCAATCTGGAATACTAAGGCTTAGAAGAAAAACTAGTTTCTAAATCAGATATTTTCTACCTTTTTTCTCCTTCAAGAGTTATGTAACAAATATTTAGCCTAGATTCTATATGTATATAATGTACAGAGAACCACTCAGCAGGATATAGTACCCTTAATTGTAGCACTATGCAAAAAATTTCAAGAAAATTTTTCTATAAGCTGTAAGTCCAACACAATACCCTATCAAAGGGGGAGGACCTGGCCATTTGCACTTCTTTTCCATTTAAACAAGTTCATTTTTTGACAGTGGTTTCCATCGGATGACAATATTCTAAAGAGATGTCCCATGAAATATTCAAATTACAAAAAAAACTTAACACTCGATTATTTCTCATATTGATTGTGTGATTCAGTGAAAACTAACATTTTATACCTTTTCATGAACTTTTTGCCCTGGCTCCATTCCTTCAATATGCTCTGAGTCTGCAGGTCCCTCACCAGCTGCCATTTTCCTTTGAATGTGTGCATTTTGTTCACGCAAAGCTACAATCTGCAAAAGAAAGAAAACAAGTGGTCGATATATATAAGAAACCAAAAAAAAAACCTACTGAGCAGAAAATCTGTTAAATTTATTAACATTTTGGCCATTTGTAACATTTGCAAAATAATATCTGTACATACAGAGAGGCTTAAAACCCAAACACATTAATGATGACTAAAGGCCATTAAGTACACAAAGTAATCAAGAAATGACAGGAGAGACAACACTGTCTTCTTTTATCTTCTATCCTTACTTTGTGCTAAGGTGGTTTTTTTTTATTAGCTTAAAAGATGAAACAGCTGTTAGATATTGATTTTGTAACACTGTGAGAATTTGACTCATTCTTTTGTATAGAACACAATGGAAGCCAAACTGGCATTACAGGAAAACAGTGCCAAAAGTCTATGAATCAAAGTGATGTAAAACAAAGCGCTAGCTTTCTGTAAACTTCCCATTTGTTAGTAACTGAAACATATGTTTTAAGTGGTTTTTGTCAAGAAAAACATGCATGTAAAAATCCTCTACTGTGGTATCCATTGCCTATTTTAATGGATATACATGTATGTTTTATTGAATTAAAAATATTGCTTTATTGATTGGTAGTGATATTAAAAATCCTATGCAGGTACTGGAAAATAAGCCATTTCCTCTCTGACTTTGTAGCTTACTTTCACGTAATACACAGAATGGAAAGACTCAGGTTCTATAAAGTTTTTACATGCTATACTATGATAAGTTGGAAGATCTGGCTAATACAAAGATTATTTATTATGATAAATTGCAAAGTTAGATCTCTTTGTGCAGTTCTGCTTTCAAGAACACATACTAAATGATTTACTGAATAGATAATGTTATGCATTAAACACTGTAGAACACTGGTAGGATTCATAGAAGCTGTTTTTGGAAACCTGGTGTAAATTTGAAGGCTTATGTCACTGTACTGTGTCTGCATAAATCCTGAGACAGACATAAAATACTACCTTGTCCTAGAATACAAATACCTGGGGTATGTAGGAAGACTTAAGGCAGTACTACCAGGTAAGCATGTACAGCAACCATGATTTTATAGGATAGTTAATTTAATTTACATTAAATTTACATTAAAATGTATTTGTTTTTTCAAACATTTTTCAATTTATGTTTAAGTTCTGATTGTAAAGACCACTTAGGTCAGCTCTGACCAGCATTCGAGATCTCAGGGACACACCACTTTAAACAACTCTTCTTTAATATAAATGTTGAAAACTGTTGTGACATGAGTCAGGCTGATTCAGTGCTCACTAAATTCCAAGTTAGAGTTCTTGTAGAACTTGTGTGACTCCCACTGATTTCAGTGCTAAGACTGAGACTTAAGGTCAACATTTCACTCAAAGCAATTATAGGAAAAATACAAGAAAACACAAGAAAAATAGGAAAATACAAGACAGTGGGAATGAAACTGAAACAACCTGTGTCTTTTGGGGATGTATAAATACACTGAGCTTTAAAACATTTTGCTTAAATAAGAGAATAAGGTCTTTATAATCATGTTAGCATAGACTTCCTTTGTACACAGTAATTTGTAGTTTAATAACTTTTTTTCTGAATAGCTTCATTCATTTCTTTTTCTCTACAGTTCAAATGGTTCTCAAATCTAAACTACCAAAATTACGATTCCCACCAAGCAAATTTGCTGGAAGTGACTTTCAGATAGATTAATGGAGATATGTCAATGTACAGATTATAAAATTAAGTTTTATGGAGAGTAATTATACATCATATGAAACAAATGTAAAACTCATAGGATATGTTAACAATAGATTTGGATTTTCATATGACAATATTTCAGTGATCTATTTAAATTCATACTTCACTATGCCTTCATTTTGAATTATGACCTGTGTCTAATACAAATCCTTAAATGCCATTTAGAGTTGTATAAACACTACTGCAAAATGTTACCATTCCATCAAATATTCCATAATAGTTTTTTTTTTCTCAGCCTCTGCTACTCTGTAGATACCCTAGGATCATCATTTACTATGTAAGTAAGTAAGTAAATAAATAAATATCAATTATCCATTCAAAATGAAAGATCAATGAAAACAATATTATGTATCATTATTTACAGGGCCTCACCTGACTTTTCAATGTCTGGGAACAATTTCTTTGCCTAAAATACATCATTGTTCAAACGTACTATTTCAATGGTTTTATTATTGTAATTAATGCAGAGTGGCTATATACAGGAACAATAGAGTTTGGAGTCTGGCACATCTTAAAAGTTTCAGCTCTAGGGTAGTCATCAGATAACAGATGTAAGTTGTGAAGATTGCTTTCACACTTGTTCTCTCTTTTTGATTTAAAGAATAAATTATGGCAGAATTATCTCTTAAAAGGAAGCATGGAAACTCTCCTGTGTCTTACAAATAAAGACGAATTTTTGTTTCTCAGTTCGTTGAAGCAAAAGGTTTTTAATTGCTATCACACATCTGTTTATTCTTTGCTTATTTCTTATTTAATTTGAACGATGATGCACAAATTATTTGCAAATGTGCTAATTTAATCACTGAACAATTTATGTAACTTTCTACACAGGTGGCCAAAACACAGCTGAATGGATGGTGGTGAATATGTGAAGACACAGACAACTCAATGTTTTCCTTGGTAGTCCCTGAATCTTCTTAAATTGTAATGATCATTACAATAGCAGACAATGATAATAGCACAGATATATGTAAGAAACTGATTGTTCAACATCAATAAAAATCAGTAATATTACATTCAAGAAATGCCTATTTCTTTTATGTTTATGATATCCGACTTAACCTATCTACTACAAAACAGGTCCACAGACAGCTTTCCAGGTACCTACATAATATTTAACCCCTCAAGGTTAAATTATTAATGTTTTTCATGCTAAGTTCTCTTTTGAAAAAGTAAAAGGTAATATTCTTAATGATGGAGTCATATCTGCT